ACACACAATAAAAAAAGTCATAACTCTCGGGGTTGCCAAACTCATGGACTATTGACACATTGATAGGCACACTTCGATTGAAACTACGTTCGGCATAGCACTTGGCACAGCTTTCGGTACAGCTGAATTACTCGGCACGGATTAAGGTGTGCAGAATACCAGTTGAATACCCCTTGCAATAAGCACTTTTTTTTTATGAACTTCAGGCAAGACTGAAAACATGGCCGCAACAAAGTTCTGAACAAGTTCTCAGTGGAATTTCTTAGCAACTTTAAAGCTTCTAAAAAGTTCCCTGCGGAACTTCTTAGCAACTTGAAAGTTTGTTAGTAACAAAGTTTCATGTATGTGAATATGAAACGATCAGTGGCTCAAATAAATAATTGTTCTTATATTTATGCATTGCATCAATATTCTATCCAAAAAATAAAAAAGAATAAAAATAAAGCGCAAATTTCCTAGATTCAAATCCGTGTATTTGGCATGCGATCTATGAACACTAAGCACTGCGCCAAAAGTGTGTTGGAATACGCTGCGGGCAAACACCAATTTAAAATTCATCAAGGTGTTGTGTTTCGTATTCAAGTCAGTCAGCTGGCATTGAAAACTCTAACAGTAGGCGGGACAACAGCTTACTTTAATATATCTCAGGAGACGTAGTGGTTCGTGCTGGGGCTCTCACGTAGATGAACTGGGTTTAATTATCTAATACTCTAATTCTCTACTACTAATGCTGATAAATCAATACGCGTTAAGACCTGACTTTAGAATTAACTTTCATAAAAGTGCGAACCAAATATAAAATTGGTGTAGAGGACAAAAAACCTTTTTTTAAACTTATTATAAAAAAGTGCTGTTCAAGTTCCTCCAGAAGCTGCTTAGAATGCTCTCAAATTATGGGACCAGAACTTTCAAGTTCTTATAACGACTTAAAAATGAGGGTGCTTAGAATTCTGTAGACCACCTTCAACCAAGCTGCTTAAACATCAAATAGCCTTTCATCAGAACTTTTGGTTTCAGTGTTTACTCGGCTGTCGACAAAAGCAGGCCACTCTCGATGTGTGCCACGCGATCGTCTGTTTTCTCGGCAGCAACCATTGTGTGGTCCTCTTCATTGTTCTTCATCAGCAGTTCTTTCGGTCGATGCGTCGTCGACTTTGGAAAGCAACCGTTTCGTGATGAGTGTGTGAGAGATGACCACGTTTTGCGTCCATTGCTGCAATGGACGCGCTCTGACCCTCGTTGGCGTAACTGCCATTCAATGAAACTACTAGAAGCGGCTCCAGTTCTGATGAATGAGGCTTTTTGGATAGCGGAAGATAAAGTGTTTATTGTGTTGTACCTTTTGACTATAGTTTTAAGATGTATTGTATAGTGACCAAGAATCCTCGGCTCTGTAAAGTTAATTCGGTTGAGCCTTATCAAATAAATTAATAAACAAAAAAAAAAGAACTTTTGGTTTCTTGGTATGTAAAGATATGTTTGAGATATTCAAATATTTGAAACAAGCAGTTCAGTATGGATAATATTATCAATGAGTGTGTGTATTCCCTCTAACTCCCACTGGCCGGCAGTGTTATTATGGAAGAACTCTCTCTACAGTGTTGCATTTATGGTCATTGTAGACAGCTTTAGTCCGGGAGTTAGAAAATGATAGCTCTATTGCAGATCCAGCAACCCATTTCAGAATGTCTCGAGAGTCACGCCCATTCCGAGGTTACTTTCACTTACAATAAGCCCCGCATGTATGCATCATCGTTATCAAATGGATTTGATTGGTATTACATACACGCTTCTAGGTTCAAAAATATTCTTCTGGTATTTAGTTTATGTTTTGTTTTTCAAATTCTAAAATGTATTTGGACTGGTCTCACCATGTTAGTTTGATCCTCCAATGGGTTCCGTAGTTTTGATTTTCTCTAAGTTTTGCATCTCATTTCGTGATGCACTTTTGTCGTCGTAATACTTCCTTCAACGAACACAAATTTACATTGCCATGGTCATCTGGGAGGAGGTTCGCGTCTAGTGCTTTCCCCAGGAACAGTTCGCGGCCACCAACTACCACCCGTCCAGTCTTGGGCGTATCCAGCGAGGCATCTTTCATATTGCTCGCAATCTCCGACACCGGCGAGAGACAAGCACCCGAGCACTTTTGCAAGCGGAAAACTTGCTGATTCACGGCAACGTCGGCCACCGAATCACCACCAAAACTCGCAACGGACACATTATCAACACATTCCCGGGCTAATTCACCAACCGGACCGATCTCTCAATAGAAATACAAGCCGAAAGTGTAGCATCCAAACTCGGAGAACCGGGCTCCTGGGAGGCAATGAAAATCGACACCGAACAATGGAACTGAAGCTACGTCGTATATTTTGGAGACAGACAAAACACGATATATCACTAAATGATAACTTTATGAATACTTGAAACTAAATTTCAGCACACAAATTAAAAAAATTAAAGCAAAAAATGTTTAATTCACTGGCGAAAAATACGCAGCAAAAGAAAAACACGTCAGCTTTCAAGTGCGGCCTACTGCGATCCCAGTATGGATAATATTAAGAATTGCATAAAAATTAAATGCACTTTTTTCGCGAAATGTTCCGAAATAATTTGGTGTGTAGCTACTTAGGTTTAGTACTCTGTAATAAACCTTAGTAGCTGATTCTTAGTTTATTTTCGTATTTAAAGCTCCATTGTATGTAGCTTTGAAATGCGTTGATCAATTTTGATAAATTTTTCACCAGTAACTGTTTTCAAAAGTTTCTGGCTCCGATCACTAGGGGCGCGGTGGTACATTGACATCTGCGTCCAAATTTACTTTAAACCAAGCTTTACTCAGTGCACTAGTACAGTGAACTATCTACAACTCAATATTCAAGGGACCATCGAGTTATAGAATTATCCAGTAACAATCCCATACAAAATCGCTATCACAGTAGCCATGAAATTAATGTTTACTATGGTTCTATAACTCGATATCGAGCTAGTGGACATCGAGTTGTGGAGAGTTGACTGTATATGAGTTCTGGTAGGTTAGCTCATTTGTGCAATACTGAATACAGTGACTTCTTGTTATTAACAAAAAAGCGTATTTTTTGCTTTCTTTACATTCATAAAATCCATCGAACAATAAATGTAATGACATGGAGAGGCAACCGACTTTCACTGAAAATGCGGGGTGCATTAATTGCATCGAGGTAGTGCATGAGCTGAAAACGAAGTGGGTGACACACTAGCGAATGAATCTTTGAAAAATCTTCTATCATTTTTCGCATCTCCTTGTATCGCACTTCAACTTTTTGTAGGAAATCTTCAGACATCAATCTTCTTTCTATCTACACACTTAGTTTTTTCTACCGAGCTCGGTTGTGCAAATCTCGGTAAAAATAAGTTTCACTGAGATCTCAGCAAAAGTGACATTTCCGGAGAACTTGGAGATTAGGGCGTAATTGCTTTTGTAAACAAACACATAATTTGCCGATTTCTCGCGTATAAAAAATTAACAACACAAACAGGTAGATGAATGGTTTCTCTATCATTTGGTATAGTTTGTTTGCAAGATTGTTCTTTTACTCACGAAAAATCGGTGATTGACATGTTTGTTTACAAAAGCAATTACGCCCAAATCTCAAAGTTCTCCGGATTTGATTGCTGAGTCTAGGATAATGCTTAGCTGAATCTCAGCAAACAAATGAAATGTTTGCTGAGATCTCAGTGCAACTTTTTTTGCCGAGATTTGCACAGCCGAGCTCGGTAGAAATAACTTAGTGTGTACACACTCAGAAATAACTTATTTTACATGTGACGGAATCCGTCTTTGACATAAACGATGAGACGTAAACAAACATGTCACACACTTAGTTTTCTTTTACCGAGCTCAGCTGTGCAAATTTCGGCAAAACAAGTTTTGCTTAGATCTCAGCAAACATTTCATGCGTTAGCTGAGATTCAGCTAAGCTTTTTCCGAAAGTCAGCAATCAAATGTCACTTTTGCTGAGATCTCAATGAAACTTTTTTTACCGAGATTTGCACAGTCGAGCTCGGTAGAAAAAACTAAGTGTTAATGTAATATTTATTAAGGGCTCCGTGACTGAAAAGCTCGTTGCTCAACGAAAAGTACACTTGATTGAGCTATATTTCGCGTCTGTTGTGACTCAAATTTATGTCAAAATTGACGCTCGTATATGTCACTTTCAGAGCACCTAAATTTACATGATTTTTTTTTCTAAGTGTGTACTCAGCGTGCGCGCAGTTAACCACAGCAAAACAAAATCATTCCTGCATCGCAGAAAGAGTCGCCCCCTCGGCTGTAAATTAAAATGAAATTAATATAAAAGGATGGGTAGCTGCCTCCCTGGCCACGATAGTGATGATATTATCAAATCTTAGGGATAAGATATAGCTGGTAATGTATTAAAATTATCCAAAAAAAGCATTGGCAGAAAACTGGGATTAAACATAACTTAGGAAGTCGTGTTGCCCAAAACGTGAAGGCACTGTATTTTTTTTTTTTGATAACTGCTCTTCATGACCATAATAATAACATTTGCCTTCCATGACGACGTCAAAAAGATGAACAAAACCGGATATCTCTATGAAACGTGCGGTACACATGCATATTATTTATTCATATCAAAGTCTCTAGATGAATAATTCAACTGAATTACACCATCGCCATGAATTATGCATTGTAAGACGAACATCAAGGAACAGCATAATTAAATTACACTTTGAGAAAAACAGGAAATTACTCCTGCCACCTCCTCCTGCCATATAACCTGTTCATGGCATCGCTTAGAGTTATGAAAAACAACATCTTTCGTACTCAACCGCACCAGAATGTAACCAGAACGTAAAAAAGGGTGCTCCACCTAAACCTAGTACATATACATCGTAAACAGTCGGTTGACTAGTAGTGTTTACATCGTCGTCGATTGCGCCACACCCACACACATATCCAACGGTAGGCAACAACATTCTCAGACCAAACTTACCAAATCCCGATGCAGATCCTTGCTAATGTGCGGCGTGAGTTTCATCAGTCCGATAAAGATGAAGAACAACCCCAGCAGGATCGAGAGGCTTTTGAGCACTATCGAACCCATCCGCTGGGTGTTTGCGGCGCTGGAGGAGGCCATTGCCGGCTGCTGTGCACTGGCGGTCGTCATGGCTGCCCTTCGGTAATGATCACAGAGGATTCTCTTTCAATTAGATTTATTTTCTATGTCCGCTTTTCTCGTCTCGTTTCAAACGGGAGAGCGTGAAAACTCACAAGTGTCACTTACTCGCCGAGGGAAAATCACTTTCTGTTTTGCACTCTTTTGCCTTTATTTTGTTGTTGTTGTATGTGCTATTTGAATTTTTCGTATTTTTAACCTAAGAATCACAGAGAAATTTCGAATCCGCTTATTTTTCTTCTCGAACAACTTTTGCTGCGCTTCCTCAGCTTTCTTCTCGTGTCACGCGTGAACCCAACATTCATACACCGATTGCCATTCCTTGGCTTTCATCCTTTTTTTCCACACATGGGACTAGTGGGAGCTTCCTGCCGGATCGATTTTTTCTCTCTCGTTATTTATTTTTAATTTTCCACCCGCCCGATTCACTCTTTCACGCTCACTTCACTTGCACTAATTGATGGGAAAATGATCTGCTTTTAAAATTAGACACCAACCACCAGAAGCAGCCACCGTATTTCGAAAGGGAATATTTTATTCCTTTGCTCACTGTTTTCGTCGCACTTCAAAGCAATCGATTTTCTTAAGCACTAAAATTCAGGGAACTTTTTTCACCTCCATGTGACACACAAGGTTCGGCTTACCGAAGCAAGGAGAGGTGAATTTATCCTGTCTGGATGACGGCTGCAGCTTTGGGGGTTGTTGGGACACTGTTCGGCAAAAAAAAAAGTTGGAAGCGAATGCTTTTTTTATGGCGTACTGAGGAGGGGTTGTTCACAAACACACACACAAACAGAACTATTTATGATAGGGGCAGGCAGTGGTATTAGATTTTCTCTGCGGTTTTCAGTTCAAAGATCTTATGATGGCTCGTGGTCGTGTTTCTCGTTCTGATCTCTACATCACACTGGCTGGCACCGATGGTCGGCAGTGGCGATTTTTCCGTCTGGCTATTGCTGCTATGCGACGCGCTGTAACTACATGCCATCAACCACCACCAAAGAGGATGATGGGAGGTGAATTTTCCTCCCGCTTTTGCTTCGGAGCGAGAGAGACAGAGAGAGAGTAAAGTAGAGAGGAATTGCGAGAGAATTTGTGGCGAAAGAGCGAGAGCGTGTGTGTGCGGTGTTTCCTTGGCGGTGATGCGATGCGGTTCCTTTTCCGGTTGATTGATTGTAGGCGATGTCCTTTCGCGAATGTTATTACGGTTTCTCTCACACACTTGGACGCTCTCTCGCCTCAAGCGATTTTGAGCATAACGAAAGGCATCTAAAGAGGGTGGGATGAGATGCACTGCACGGTCGATGAGATCAACTCAAAATTGGTGGTTTTTCAATCAAAATCGACAAAACTTAGGGGACAATGGTACAAAACGCACCACCCTAATAAACAAATACTATAAACGAACTGTATCCCGGATGGGTAATCTATCACACAAATGGTTTGGGTGATACCCCGAACACGTCGTTAAGCTCTCTTTTATGGTTATTAGGGCAGCTGACTTTCATTTGCGTTTTCCATGGATTTTTCGTAACTTTTTTATGTCCTATCAAGCAGCATTTCCAGCTGTGCCGGTGGTGTAGTGGTAAGTGTGATTGCCTCTCACCCCAAAAGGTCTGGGTTCACCGGGATTTTCTGAGACATGCAATCTTCCTTCGGGAAGGGAAGTAAAGCCGTTGGTCCCCGGTCTATGAGTTGATGGGTCGATATGTAGGGTCCAGGTGTGGGAACTGCCTTCCCAAGTAACCACCAAGCCCGTTAATAGCCATCTAATCGCCCTATCTTCGATATAAGGTTGTTATAGGGCTTTAAACCCGTATATCAGCATTATATTACAAAAAAAACAATTAGCGTCGGTAGCATTGGCAGTCAGTACGGACAACAACACAGCAAAAAAAGTTGTTGAATATTACATCGAAACTGATGCAACCAGGTCAATCCATCGGTTGTGTAATATCACATTGTACGATGTACATCGATTTTGCGAACAAAATTACATCCATTGATGTAATATTGTATCTGCTTTTTGCTATTACATCATTATTTCATACATCAGCTTGAATTACGTTGATCGATATTACATTTTTTTTTGCTGTGAAGATGGACGGAAAAAAATCAAGGGAAAAAAAAACAGTGCTTCTAGCATATCGGGGTGTGCTTTGTACCGTTCTCCCCTATAGGTCACTCGCTTCTCCCTCGGTTTTTCTTGAAAAATCTGCTCGAATATGAAAATCGACGAAAATTTTACTCAGTCTAAGAGTATACTGAGTGAAATCTCTTGCGATTTTCCTATATTCGAAAAGTTTTTTTTTCTGGAAAATTAAGGAAAATGTAATATCCCGTTCACACTACAGTCTTTATTACGTGATATAGCCTATATCTTAATATGTATGGCGTTTGATACTCTATTATCACGTTTTTGATATTATCTAAGTGTTCAGTTTTTGTTCAGGAAATTTAATTTTTATTTTGTTCGATATTATTTCAGATTTCGCACCTAATTAACCACTTCATTCGAGCAGTTAACATGACGTTTACTACCACTCGAACATTATTTTGAGAATTTTTCTTCTAGAACCACAAGAAAAGTAGCAAAAATTTGTGCGTTTCATAAAAAAATAGAAATTAGTTGGTCCAGTTTTGTGAAATCGCTGGTAGAAAGTCACGCCAAAACTGCTTGACAAAGTGGTTAATTAGACTCCTGCGCTAAATTTCGCACTGGTCATCAAATTTAAATATTGAGCTTTTTAAAATTTTCTAGAGCTCGAATCCATTAGTGCGGGTTGCCAGTACTGTTTTAAAGCTACTACTGCTTACAAATAAGTCGAATTTTATTTTTTTTATCGCCTGTTCGAACATACTACTTGGCAATTATTTTTGACACAGGAGTCCAAAGTAGTGCAAATTTGCAAAAACGATACAGAGTTATATTTTTTCAACTGTAGATTAAGTTTTGAAGCATCTCAGATGAATCAATTTATCAGGAAGAAGTTAAAAAGTGTTCCGCTTCCTCTGTCTCAAGGCACGAATTTCTGCTCACATCACTATTTTTGACGTTCTTCTATTCACCGGCAGAGGTTGAATCGATCGCTTAGTTCTATTAAAAAGGCCTATTTCAAACTAGAACAGAAACGCACCCGTTGCAATGCTTACGCCGTTCGCAATGCTGTTGTATTTTATGAGGACTGTTTCAATTTGAAACTAGAACAGAAACGCACCTCTCGCAATGCTGAGTTGCAGTTTCAAATCAAATTCGAATAATCGAGCACTATTTCGCACCAGATTTTCAACTGCTCGACTATTCTGTTTTATATCTGAGCGGGTTTGAAACTCGAATGGAACTCTGTTTCTAATTTCTTTGGATATTTTTGGTGAGCTTCATACAGTCAAAGCCACTAAAGCCCAGATGTCACTGAAAACATAAAAAATAAGAATATAAAGAAGAAGGAGGGGCTGTGAACCATTTGCAGAGTTAAATTCAACTCGTGCACACCAAAAAATTCTGAATTTTACTGGCGATGTAAACATCCATGCATGCAAACATTGATACAGGTAAACTTCCTTTTCACGTAAACTAGCAGCTTGCAAGAAATGTTGCAAACAAAAGTGGACAGTTGCATACAATATATGGAATACTGCATGACATGTCTCATAAATTTACACGATCTATGATCTAAACTTGTATGATATATGACGCTCCATTTATGTGCATCTTAGTAACGGAAATTTACACTACATTTTTTTAGCTGTGTGGTTAAAAGTATCATTTCGAAAGATATTTTCCATTTTCGAAAATCTCTGTGTTATATAAAAATTTCGTTAAAAACTCAGCCACGGTTGTCAAAATCTAACTTCTTGTCTCTCAGAAATAATCATGCTGGTATACCAGGGTTAATCGATAACTTACCATCTGTCAAACTGTAACCAAAAGTTTAAAAAACACATCCAAATGGTTCAGAGCCTAATCTGACAGATGGCAGATGGCCAAGGGAAAACGTGGTGAGGAATCGAAATCTCACTCTGTTATCGAATTTGCAGGTAATTAAATTGAAATTATTGCTTCTAAAATGGATTGACTTTGCAGTTGAAGAAAGGTTAAAAGGAAGTGTTCAAAATTTAGGAAAATACTCGGGAAAATATTAAAAACTTTGAGTCTGTTAGCTAGCTGAGTTTTTTCTAGCTGCTGTCAGCATTTTCAGTGCAGCGTGATTCCTGCGATTCCAGTTTTTGATCTTAGGTGATTTTTTCCCGAAAGATTATGAAGTTCCAGACGGTATTAGGTATGGTTATAAATTGTTAATGGGGTGCAGTGTACTTGCAGTCGTTCCGAAATAAAGATTCAGGCAATTGCAGCTTTTGCTGTAGAAAGTTAGATTATATTGAGAAACCAAGGATGACCCCGGCGAAAGTTGTAAAAGGGGATAATTATAGTTTTTCACCAAGATATACAGATATATAGCTCTTTTTTCATGATTGTATCTGTAGTATTGCAATGGGTTACAATTACTAATACGCGCTTGATTGCCAGCTGCGTTTTGTAATTGTATCCCAGGTAATTCCATAAAAGTTTTTATATATAGTATATTATATTTTATTATATTATGTTAAAATTTCGAGCATCTGAACACCCCTCTTTTCGCGATTAGAGCCATATTTACGGAGATAAATCGATTTAAAGATTTGGTTGGCCCACCAACCGATAAATAAAAGATTTTGGAATATTTTATACTGGGAAATCCGGATATAAAAATTTAGAGCATCTGAACACCCCTCTTTTCGCAATTAGAGCCATATTTACGGAGATAAATCGATTTAAAGTTTTGGTTGGCTCACCAGCCGATAAACAAAAGATTTTGGAATATTTTATACTGGGAAATCCGGATATAAAAATTTCGAGCACCTGAACACCCCTCTTTTCGCGATTAGAGCCATATTTACGGAGATAAATCGATTTAAAGATTTGGTTGGCCCACCAGCTGATAAATAAAATATTTTGGAATATTTTATACTGGGAAATCCGGATATAAAAATTTCGAGCATCTGAACACCCCTCTTTTCGCGATTAGAGCCATATTTACGGAGATAAATCGATTTAAAGTTTTGGTTGGCCCTCCAGCCGATAAATAAAAGATTTTGGAATATTTTATACTGGGAAATCCGGATATAAAAATTTCGAGCATCTGAACACCCCTCTTTTCGCGATTAGAGCCATATTTACGGAGATAAATCGATTTTGTACATTGCTTCATGGAAATCCATGAATTTTCCTCGGGATTTTCACAGAATTTCATGAAACCGCTTGCGTCGAATACAGCAAACATATATTCTCTCATATGATTGAAGAATGCTAAGAAATTATTCCAAAGGTCTTCAGATGTTCTAGGATCTCTATGAAGTTTTGTTATGTTTTTTCAAGACTTCAGGTTGATCAGGTATTATTTTAAAGATCTTCAACTTCTCTCATGATTTCAGGTTGCTCAAAAATTATTCAGAAGTTCATCAATATGATATTGATGATACTCTTTCAAGACTTCGAGTTGATCAGGTGTCATTCTGAAACATCCTACAATCCAATCACAGCTCTCATATATTCTCTCATATGATATCAGGCAGCTCAGAAATTATTCCAAAGACCTTCGTGTGTTTTAAGATTTCCATATAGTCCTCTGGATACTTTTTCAAGACTTCAGGTTCACAGATAATTTTAAAAGTGATGTAAACATTCATTCACGTAAACTTGTATTTCATTTCACGCAACCGAGCAACTTGTAAACAATGTTGTTTACAACAATGGGCTTTTGTATACAATATTTGCTACATTGCATGAAATGTCTCAGAACTTTACATGATATATAATTTGACGCTCCATTTATGTGCATCATACTGAACAAAAATTTACACTACTTTTTCGAACTGTGTTGATCAGGTTATTTTGAAGATCTCATACTGTTCAACAATTCAAGTCACATCTCCCTGATAGTCTCTCATTATACCAGGTGACTCAAAAAATATTCCCTAGACCTTCAGGTGATCAAAGATCTCCAAAAATGTCTCATGATATTTCAACATGATCAAGTATAATTCTGAAGATCTTCAACGGTCCAGCACTTTTAAATCACGTCTCTCATATATTCACCCTCGATACCAGGGTGCTCAGGTTATCTTCCATTTAATTCCACTTAATTAATTTTGGTATCCATGATACGTATTTCGACTACACTACAATGTGCAGTCTTCATCAGTGTCATTCCCACTAAAGAACATATCAAAATCTAACCCCCTTAACTACTCATCCCCTAGGTAAAAAAGTCAAGATCATAGGTATAAAAATGAAACTACAATGTGTTGAATCGGAACCTATCTATACCTAATCTATACAACTCTCTTATAAGGAAAATCCCCAAAGGCTTACTTAAATCTTTGGTTTTTATTAGTTAGGTAGGTTCCGATTCAACACATTGTAGTTTCATTTTTATACCTATGATCTTGACTTTTTTACCTAGGGGATGAGTACACGGAACCAAATTTTGTTCATTTAAATCAAAAATATAAATGTTCATTATATAAACATATGAATAATTCAAAATAAATTAAAAACATGTTTGCTACAAAAATATATACGTTTGAATTAAAGTCAAAAGCATGTTTATTTCAACAATATAGAATTTGGGTAAACGATTTTTAGCGTGTGGGAAAAAATTGCCCCAGCTTTGCCAATCAACTGAAAACGGCACATCTAGGTAAGTGTCGATAAAACCGGAGGAACCCCACAGTATTGACGTCACTCTGTCGTTTCTAATGCCAATCCCTGTATCATCCTCCTCCACAACTGACGTCGGAAGAAAAACGAAAATCCTAAATGGATTTCGGATCTATTCCGGATCAACCGAGGCGGCTCCTCTTTCAACACCGAACGTATAAAGAGGCCGGTATGAGGATCAGCGTTAGAAACGACAAAACGACGCTAATATCACAAAGTTTCACTGGTTTTACTGAACTGGAACCTCCGGACACTCACCCCGACGGGTCTCCGCATCTCGCACCAGGACCCCAACATCCACAGCCCACCCTTAATCGCACCCGAAAAAGAGCAGGAGTTTAGATGCCCTGTCTGCAGTTCATTTTTTTCATATCTTTGCAATCCATTTTTTATGCTTTATCCTTAATGCTAATATAATTTAAAATTAAGTATGTTTCTTTCAAACATAAGAAGGATGTTTAAAATAAACATATTTATTTTTGTTCGCATAGTTGTCAAACCAAACAAAAATATTCACGTTTAATATAGGGGAAATGTTGGCTTCGGCAATACCTTAATCTATTATCGTCAGGGGGGGTGAAAAAAGTCCTAGAATACTCAAATTTGGCCAATGGATGCTCTCAAACACAATGTATTCACATACCAAAATTGAGCTCTCAAGGACGTTGTTTACCACCTGACGATAATAGGTTAAGGTATTGCCGAAGTCAACATTTCCCCTATTTTTAAAATAAACGTAACATTATTTTTATTTTAAGAGTGTACCCCATTAGGCATAAATACGTTAGGCATACGGACGTTAGGCATAATGGACGTTAGGCATATAGTCATTAGGAATAATGGACGTTAGGCATAATATACGTTAGGCATAATGGACGTTAGGCATAAAATACCTTGCTGCTGTGCAACTCTAGAAACCTGTATCGAGAATGGTAAACAATGCTTAAATTAGGCTACGCGTTGAATAAAAAATGATACAAGTTAAACAAACATATTTTATTCAATAAGCACAGTTTGGAATCCATTATTTATCATATCATAAGTGACGTAGCTACATATTTACTTAGATCCAAGATTAGTAGCGATAGCGGTTAAGTAATCTGGTAATGAACTCAGCATAGTTTTGAACTATCAAGATATAGTTCGCAATCGCATCTAGAAATAAAAAAAAAATCACTCATTTGTTGTAATATATTCTTACACACATATTGCAATTGTCAAAGCAGAAAAGGTTTTCCTCAAAGAACAGCTCATGAAATAAAGAATGGTGAATTCTATGATTTTTCATTCAATAACAAAAAAAAAAAACAGCTAAGGTTGAATAAAATATGATGCCAAAGAACAGCTCATGAAATAAAGAATGGTTAATTCTGTGGTTTGGTCCCATTATCATCCTTCTGGAATTCATCGGGTAGATTATGCATAACGTCCATTATGCCTAACGTCCTTTATGCCCAACGTCCATGATGCCTATCGTACATTATGCCTAACGTCCGTATGCCTAACGTCCGTATGCCTAACGACCGTATGCCTAACGTCGTGTACCCTTATTTTTATTTTAAACATTAATATCACATGACTTCAAACATGGAATACGTTTGAAATAAACCTTGTTTATTTTTGTGGCCAGAACAAACTGAGTATACGTTTAAATTTACCTCAAATATGTTTGTTTCAACGATAAATTTTTCTGCGTGGGTTAGATTTTGATAAGTTCTTTAGTGGGAATGACACTGATGAAGACTGCACATTGCAGTCCAAAAACGTATCCGTCATGGATACCTAAATTAATTAAGTGGAATTAAATGGAAGATAACCTTTTTTGCTGTTTTATTACTTTTGGGTACTTTTTTCTTACCGTGTTAGCTTAACGCCCAATGGGTAAGCATAATCTACTTATATAGGTTTTCTGATCTTAGCGTGTATAGTAAGCGATATGAGAGAACTAAAATTAGCTTACACGGAGAAAAAATACTACCCAAAATTTGAGTTCTTTGTACTTAATATTGAGTTCAGCCTCTCACTTGCACTCTTTATTGTTGTCAAAAAAGGAACGAGAGATTGGCAAATCAAAGTTGGCACTCGATGAGAATAGATGAACTATGAAAGTGATGATGGTTTCAAAATTTTACACGGTGAGAATTCAATCTTAAAATGCCTTTATTTTGCAAATGGAGCATTTTATTTAAATCTGGTTGATGCTACGTTAGTATAAAACTTAAGGACTACTCAATAGATAGTTAATATAGAAAACATAATTTCATATTCAGATTTGTATGTGTAGACACAGATTTCAGCTTTTCTACAACTGTAGCAGCAACCAGATTTGAATAAAATGCTCCATTTGCAAAATAAAAACATTTTAAGATTGCTCTCGTATACCTCCCAGTGGAACATTTTGAAACCATCATCACTCTCATAGTTCTTCTATTCTCCACGAGTGCCAACTGTGATTTGCCAATTCGACCCAACGATATAATTCAGCCCAATAAGTTACTTTTGAGTAAATTGCATATTCTCAAATCTGCGTGCATTAAACTTATTTTTAGGTAAAATATTCTTAAGAGTAGGTTTTTTTGCTGGTGTTAAATGGAAACTACTATGTGATTTACTCAAATTTGGGTTATTGGGCTGAAGCCCGGAATTGAGGGAAAAGTACTTAATTGTGGGTAGTTTTTCATCGCCGTGTAGATTTATTTTAGATGTGATTCAGAGCCATGGCAATATATTAGACCCGTTTCAAAGGGTTTCTTTTGATTTGACAGTTGAGGTGGCTGAGATTCGATTTTGTTTATTCTAATCGTAACGTTATCTCAAAAAAGATGAAAAAGCCTAATTAAGCCTTACACTAAAAAAAGGTTTCACTTAGTTTATATTAGGAACGCACATAATATTTTTCCAATAAATAATAAAAATAATGATTTTTATCTGAATATCACATATCAGAAGGAATTCTATATGAGAAATCATATAGATTTCATTAGACACATAACGTTCATGTGATTTAGTGGTGCAATTTCCATTTACGGGATTATATGAAAGTTATATGAAATTTACATGGATATTTTCCACTGCTAAGTGATTTATTTTTTGAGTGTATCTTATGTAATTTCAAGATTTTCCGTATTTATAAAATTTAGTTCTGCCTAGTTTGTGTCTCAACTCAGGCCTGTTTTTACTAAGGAGGACAAGTTGGAGCCCCCCCATCTAATCGTATGATCTTATACTGTATATATATACGAGCTGAACGACCAATAGATTGATGCAAATTTGAAATTTTTACTGCACAGTGCTCAAATGGCTTCAAAAATGGTCCTAATAATTTTAAGTAATTTGGTAAGACACTGATTTGGCACAAACTAAAATACGGTCCGAACAAAATAAAGAAGATGGGTGATTATTCTCTATACTGTTCGAAACGGACTCCATATAAAAAATTGTATATAGGAAATCCATTTCAAACGGAATACAGAATAGGGGTGCCAATTGAAATACATTAAATGTCTTTCAACTGACACCCCTATTCTGTATTTTTAAGTTTTTTTTTTTCCTTTGGTTTGTTTTTCCGTCGATCTTGTTTTCCGTGCTGAGCACCAATGCTACCGACGTGCCAGGAAGGCAGCTCCCACACCTGGACCCTACCTATCGACCCATCAACTCATGAACCGGGGACCAACGGCTTTACTTCCCATCCGAAGGAAGGCGTGATCAGAGATGTTATGCCTCTTATTTTTAAGTTAAAAGCCATTCAATTTAGCGAATGTCTAGTGTAGTTGAAACCCAAAAGATTCGTGGACTTTAAAAAAAATGTCATTTTGTACAATGTCGGTGGACGCATAATTGACCCATGTGCATATGTAACTAAAGAGTGAAACTCAAAAACACATGCGTCCACCTGTAACAGGTCAGACCCGATTACCCACAGATGACTTTTTTCAATCACATCGTCGATTTTACGCAAGCAACTAAAAGGACTTCAGTTTTTTTTTTCAATTTGCGGCACAATGAACAAATTTCGAAGGACATCAATTCGACACTTTTACATTTATTAAAAATCTTTTTATTCTTCCGACAGTACCTTTCGTTACAACTGTTTTTCTTCTTCTCCTTACTTTCTTGTCAGATGTTCCTCTCAGAGTAGCTATCTCGATACACATGACTTTTGGACTGTCTTCGTTTTGATTCATCTGGTCGTCACATCGCACTAATTTTCTCTAAAGTCTAGTTGAGGACGCAACTATTGCCGTACTGGAAATCTTACTACAAAACAAGCATTTTTCTTACACAAGATTATGCCTAAATAAAAAAAAAAACGAGATTGCTTAAACCACCTGATAATTGGAATGATTGGACATTTTCGATTTGGACGGCACTAGGTTCCGCTATTACCGGAAATTAAGAGATTCATTCAGCCTTTCCGCTGTCTTCACTAATTGGTATTATTTTCGGTGATGATTTAAATTAAGTTTAAATGTTTACTTTAAATATTTCTTCACTAAAACCGTCATTTAGTGTTCCTTAATCGGTTCTACTCTAATTCTACTGTGTAAAGATTTGTTTTTATTTTGTATATCTTAATAGCCCTATGCCAATTTTTTTGTTTTCGTTTATGTTACATTTTTCATCGCTAAAAGAAATTGGAAGCTTTCTTTCTTTCACTTGGCCAAATCTGATGGAATGTTCAGTTTGCATTAATGTTCACACCAGCAGAATCTAATCCTGCCATAATCTTAGCTTCTCTCAAGACGGTCGCACGGACCCACCAGTCAGTGGGAATTCTAATTGGAATGTGACCAGCGGTAGAAGCTCGTTTCCCTTCCCAAACATCCTATCTCTCTCGTTCTATCGTTGTGATCCTAGAGCGGGGCGTGGTCTAGTTCGAATTAGAACATCACTGCTAAAGCGGTGACCACTAGCAGCACGGTTGACGCGGACACCGCGCTGGCATCGCCTCCGTAGTACGACTGACCGCAAGCCGGTGGACACACCGGAATGACCGTTTCGAACAGCTCCACCTTGGCTTCGGCCTGGCCGAGCTTGTTGATTGCCCGGCAGTAGTACTCGCCGTACTGACGTTTCTCGATCGTAATCACCCGCAGCGTCGTATCGGTGAACTCGTCCGCCGTGGCAAACAGCGAGATGCCGTAGTGCTGATTGTTCGACAGCTGGACATCGTCCTTGACCCACACGATGGCGGGCGACGGGTAGGCTTCCACGTGGCACTCCAGATCCATATCGTTCTGCAGGGCCTGACCAAGGCGGGGACGCGGAACGGTGATGACCGGGGAAAATTCCACCTCCAGATTGATGTTACGACGGTCACCCTTGCTGACGCCGTTGTCCGCGACGCAGTAGTACGTTCCGCGGTCCTCCTTCTGGACGGAGTTGATCTTCATGACGTTGCCGGTGTAGATTGCGCCACCTGTGTGCATTCGGGGAGTGGGAGAGAACAAAAGGAAATAAAATTAGAATTTATTGCTTTTATTTTTTTTTTGGGAACGTGCGTCACATGGTCGGTGTGCGAAGGAGCGCGCGAAAGGTGCTTAAGAGAAGTGCTTCCGGTGCAGCTTTTGGACAGGACAGGAGCGATTTTGCGGTTTAATGATTTCGAGAGCGGTTTGTCAGGAACAGGACAGTTTCCCTTCGTTTTTTTTTTATCTTTTACCATACGATTGGACAAAAGGTGTTGGGGTTAGGTTTTATGGATAGAGAAGGGTTTCTATGCGCGCCGCATTGTTCTTCTAGGGTGAAACGTGCTCATGAATAAAATTGCTTATTTATTACTATCATATGGTAACAGTTGTCGAGGAAATGTTTATGCCGCTTTTTGAGATTTCTCGCTGGTCTACGATAAAGGATACCTTAATTTGTTATCCAGGAAATTGACATATTTTGAAACAGTGAGGGTTCAATCCAATTCAGGCCATAAACTAGCAACCCCAAATGCAAAGTTGACATTTGGAAGTTCGCTTATTATTTTCCTTTAAATTGAGAAGTTTCTCGAATTGCACACGCAGTCCCCAGAATTTACCCTGTTTTAAAACTATCACTAGGGGCCTCCCTTAGCTCAGTCGGTAAAGGCGCAGCTACAAAGCATGGCCATGCTGGAGGTGGATGGGTTCGATTCCCTTTCCGGTCTAGGAATTTGTCGGGTTGGAAAATTTGTCGACTTCCCTGGGCACAGAGTATGATGGTACTTGCCACACAATTATACTAATGCAAAAATAGTACAGGCACCGAAAGCTCTCAATTAATAACTGTGGAAGTGCATCTAGACCTCTAAGTCGAGAGCACGCATTAAGCTAATATGCGATAAGCAGTAAGCTTGAAATGTAAAGAAGAAGAAGAAGAAGAAGAAGAAGAAGAAGAAGAAGTAAAACTTTCAATAACTGCATGAGCTTTCTTTAAAAGCCTTACATGGTTTTTTAAGTTCTTTGAAATTATTTTCAGAGGTCCAGCACCCTGCCAACTCTGAATACGAACAACAAAAGTGTTTCAACCACTGAGTTCCCTGAATTCACTGTTCTCTAAATTATACTAGAGCTGAACTAGAAAGTAAAAGGTACTTGCGCAGAAAAAAATTGTTCCTTGGAATTTCTCTGAGCATGACTTAAAGCCTATCTAAACGTAGAACAGGAGATTTGCAAACGTGATATGGAAGTTCTCTGAGCATGACTTGAATATCTTTAGAGTTTTCTATGACCAAGGTTGCTAAACAGACCCTGCCTACCCAACAAACAATTTCTACTTGTAGAAACACCTTCATGATGATTTTATTAAGTTGCATACTGAATAAAAGCTGCACTATTTTTTTATCACCACTTGTTTTCAAGCTTTGTTCACACAAACAAATTATGAGCGTAGTATAGAGTATGTTGAAAAGCATTTATTCGACAGTTCAACATCGAAGCCATATCAATTCAACTATGTTTTAGCTTGTTCAACTTTTATTAAACTAGATGGCTGATTGACCCTCTCCGTTGCGTACGCTTGTCATTGTATAGATAATACAACCGCTATACAGAGAAACTAGGCAGCTATATATATGTATATATTTTTTTTTTTGCGTTAATAACTCAGCTGCCCCTGGTCCAATTTCAATAATTTTATCTCCATTCGATCAGAAATATGGCTACGCATCGATATCAATGCTTCCGAATGTTGATTATCAACAAGAAACTATTGAAAAACTGGTAAATGTCCAGCATTGTCCAAAAGCATCGAATTAACTAACAAATCCACCAATTACCTACATGCATATGCTGCTTCCCCAGCACAGTCGTCATAAAGTAGTAAGTAGACGAAACAAGTTAAAGTCGCATTCGCCTCCGATCCTCAGGCGCGTGCAAATAGGAAGGATGGAATTGCGTAACATTTTGCACACTCATCGTCATATTCAGAACACACCAAATGCTCTCCAGAGTTGTAGTATTGTAACCAAACTTGGAAACAGGGGATACACTCAAAAAAACGATAATGAATGATTTCTTTTGGCTTATTTTGACCATAATATGCATCTAAAGCGTTCCATCCACTTTTCCAAATTTCTAACTTACTATCAATAGAACAGCGCCATCAATGAGAAAAAATAGAGTTGACTTAATGGTGAAAATTATTTTGTAGTTCATTAAAAATTCTACTCTAACTCTTAAAATAAACTTGGTGGCTCCTACACCTGCACCCTACCTATCAACCCATCAACTCAACCGGGAACCAACGGCTTTTCTTCCCGAAGGAAGGCGTGATCAGCGATGTTAATTCGAGATAATTATGTTATGCCTTAGAACATGCCGGTGGCGCTGACTAAGATTGAACCCAGGCCTGCTGGGATAAGAGGTAATCACGCTTACCACTACACCACCGGCGCCGCTAACTTTCATGGTGTTACCATTGGCAAACTACGCAAAAGGAAAGGAGCCAGTGTCGATACTTGATAGCAAACTACTCATAATGGGAGGAGTCTTTGTAGCTTTTATACCACTTGGTTGCACATCATTCTGCTTTATAAAAAAAACCCTTCTGTCTAGCATCAACTCAACTTGTATATAGTAGGTTGGGTGTATATAGTAGTTGTAGGTTAGTTGTAGTTGTAAATAGTAGTTATAAGTAGTCTCCTTTTTCCAATTCAAATCAAACCAATCCCACCAAGGTGGTCATACTTTAAAATAGGCCTGATAGGACTAGTAACTGTAAATAATAATTAAAATCTCAAATGAACTAAAGTTGAAAAGACGCATCTGTGTCACTTGAAAAATTCATAAATGTAAACCACACAAACACAAGAAATAAAGATCATTTTAAGTAAGTAAGTTTTAAGTAAGCATCAACTCATTTTCACTTCGGACGGCCTGGTGGTCAGCAATAGCAGCAGTAGAAAGGTGGTGGCTAGTGCACCCTTCTACATTCAACAAGCAACAATAGACTGGTCGCGGCAAAGAAGGAAAAGATCTGGGTCAAAGAGGCACCAAGCGTCATCGCAAAGTTCTTCGAGATAACCGCTATCCGTCGTCTGGCTTGCCGTGGTGGTGTCAAACGTATCTCCGATCTGATCTACGAGGTGTGCTGAAGGTGTTTCTGCAAAATGAGGTCCGTGATGCTGTCACCTACACTAAACACGCCAAGCGTAAGTGGCCATGGATGTCCTCTTCAATAAAACGGCCCTTTTCAGGGCCATCAAGCTTATAACAGTAAAGAGTTGGAATAGAATGTATCTGTGCCACAGGCCCTCAACGACCACACAAACTGCTCTCCAGAGTTGTAATCTTGTAACCAAACCTGGAAGCATGGGTGCAATTGATTTTGATTGATTCCCTTCATCAACTTTCTCTTTGAAAAAAAAAAAATACTGTAAATTTGATACGCTTACAAATCCAAAACGGAAAGAGTTTATATGAAAAGAACTAACTGCTCTTCACATTTGTTCCGTCCACTAGCGGTCCTACGTCAAACTTCCGTTCGTGCCCCTAGGTACAGACCCTTCTACTTTTTTATTTAAATAAGCTCTTGTCTCATATTATTCAACACTGTTTTATAACTGTTACTCAGCTGTTTAGCTCAGTATGAACTTCAGTGGCGCTTATTCCACCTTTTATAAGCTGCCAGATAATCACTATACAGTTTTGTCACGGGTGTTGAGCAAAATATTGTTTACATTCCAGTTTACACATGATGGAAAATTGTTGATTTTACTCCATCTCCGATATTTATTTATTATTTTATGACTAACCTTTATATTCGATATTTATCATATTATTATCTGGCTACAACGTGGAAAATACAACCTACAACAAAATTGTTGATTAGAAGCTTTATAAATTTGCACACACAACACTTGTTCGTCTGTTTTATTCCACCGTACAGAAAGTAACTTAATCCTCTAGGAAAAATCGATGAAATAGCGATAGTTTCCAGATCTTCGGCACCTTACACTTAGTAGGCCTTCTTGCGGAACGTGAGTCGGGCTAGCACAGATTCATCGGAAAAGCGGTGCACACTACGATGCTCTGGCCATGGCTGAAGACGATCGTGATTTTGTAGCATTGTAGTACAATCGAACAATGCAACTAGGAAACATTTATTAGGCATCTATAAACAAATTAATTAAGCAAATGCAACAAGTCGAATAGAAGCGTCTATTTTGGTGGAAGATGCTGATGCTGATGATCTTTGGATCAAAATGATGTTTGTTCAGCACATTATTCGACATATCATCTTATTCAGCAATGTATACTGTTGTTCAGCATTTATTCAATAGATATACTTATTTTCAGCTCTGAAGTGTTTGTTCGGTGTCAGCTCAACTATCACTGAACGTAATAGTGCATTTTGTTATAAATCGGCGCACTTATTCCATAGAGGTAACTCTAAGACCAGAAGGTCCTGAAGAAACATGCTCAACTTATGGGTCCGATCTGGTACTATCTTCGGTCCGAAGCTAATCGATGCACCCCTCGAAACGAAACGTAGGAAAATCCACGAACCCCTCATTTTATCTGTCAAACTTTCATAGCGAATTAAAACAAACATGGAATGGGGTACGCTTAGAGATGTACTAGGGACCAATAGGCTCAAATTTGAGTGTAGGTAGCTAATAAACCACAAAAGTGTTTTTCCAGGTTTTCCAGTAAAACAGTTCCCAAATATGAGAAAAGTAAAGGGTGGAATCACTCAGTCTATTACGCGGTCTATTGGTACTAATCCTAGACTGAGTAAAATTTTCGTCAATTTTCCTCACTTTCTGGCAGATTTTTTAGGTTTTCCACAGGCAAATTTACTCATCGCTGAGTTCCTGCACTTTTGGCGATTATGAGTAAACTAAACTCAAACTTGGGTTGTTCTCATTCGCCGTGCAGACTCGAAAAATATGATCATCAAAAGGAGCCAGAATCAGAATCAAAAGGAGCCAAACAGTTTGATGATGCT